ATATATAATCAGCGTAGTTATATGTAGTGAATCGTACCCGTTTCAGTCTTTTTGTTGGTGTATTATTGCCATTACTTTTTAACCTAACAACTGTTACCCCGTCGGCGGCGGCGGCGGCGGACACTTCTACTGAAGCCATTGTTCGTAATGCAGCTAGCTTTGATACACTTCAGCTGATAGATTAAACTAGGAACCAACCAACGCAGTGGGCGCTGAATATCAACCAAAATCCTTCGATAGACCCTACAAAGTACAAGGCCACTGGTATATCGACTCGATTGGATTTCCGGATACATACACGCAGTGTCCCACATGGTTTCTATTATTATGCCGATAATTCTGGTAAACACACAAATACATCCTCACGGCTTTCGATTGCGGTATCCGTTCGGCCTTTGAAATTCTATCAAATACGCTTGTTCAACTTCTATCGCAGCTGGAGCTGACTGGTTCAGCTTGGTTTGTTCATCGCGGTCTACTTAAAAAGAGCACGCCTTCGGTGAGGTTCCACGAATCGATCGCCAGTGAAAGTCGTTGCGCTTCAGGCAGTCTGTTGAAAATCCGCGTATCGGCTCGACTCGATGATGCCGCCACCTTTGCTCCAAGGTGGCCTTGTGCTTCGCTGTCTTTCAACTGGTGCACTTCATCCATATACAACTGAACATAACATAGCATTCGCCTACAAACGAGCCATTGGTCGTTGTAAGGCTGGTGAACTTATGCTTTGTGTATGAGCTGGAGCTCGATCCGCATCAATATGATATAGAGTGTGATCCTTTATAGTTGCAAAAGGAAAAAGAGATTTCGGTAATAAATGTAGCGACTATCGAGAAAAAAAAATATCAGGTAATAGCACTGGTCAAATACTGCATTACCATAATCATAGTTCTCTAAGGTTTAATCGCTCAAGGAGCGCAAAAATTGTATAATACCGTTCATTTATCCTCACCGAATGGTTGTTGCCTAGCAATTTTTCAGTTCCAATTTTTGCGACCCGCCCGTAACGGGAACAGTGTTCCGCATCAATATCACAAAAATCACCTCTCGAAACTGCTAACACGAAGTCTTTCTTAGCCACACACATAGTAATTAGTCAGCAGCTACACATACGATATCTGCAATCGCTGACTCGGAATTTTATCGAAAATAGGCAAACTGCAAGAGTTTGAATTGAATTTAAGTTTCAGGGGCCGCTGGGAAAATGCCTCTTACATCATATTGTGCTATGATACCGCGGGGCCGTATTAGTAACAGCAAACAAATGTGAAAAATATATTTTCTTGGAACAATCACTTTGATTGTAATAGAACTTAAAACTAGATATACTGTGTAACCTGATTTGCGATATACTACGACAGCAAATGCAGCTGTGTTCTAGGTTTTCAAGGAGTTTGGAGGGAAGAAATAAGTGAGATTCAGAATACGACCTATCATAATAATAGATTAGGTGAGTGTCGAAGCACACCGTTTCGAGAAACACAAGGAAAGCTTAAATTAAAAAATAGTTGAATTTTGAATTAGGTAGTTTGCAGCTCATTAGTGACACAATATTATGTCATACGCTAAGGAGGCCCACTCGAAAAATACGCGAGTTAATTGGACAAAACAGTAAATAACCGCGGTATGACAATTGGCTCCCGTTCGGGACATTGGGAAGGTTCGGATCTTGCTCCATCGGAGCTTGCTCAAGGGCCACTTGGCTTTCCATCCTTGCTCGACCCTCTGTTCATTTTTGTTATCTTAAATTCGGCTAGCCGCAATTGACTACAACCACCCATTTGTGAACTGCTTGCCTCAGCATCGAAACAGACGCTTTCACACGGACTCCGTCCCCGTGCAGATCGAAATCTCCTCTTATTCCGCTTCACTTAATACGCACGCGCCACCCCTCCTATAGTCCCGTTGAACAAAAACTCACATCGGAGAAGCTCTCAACTAACCGCAAGGACTTACAGAACAGGTTACTGCTGGACAAGGAAGGCATGCATGCTCTTCACTTGGAATATCCCCATAGAAAAAAATTCAGCCCGTCGCGCAAACCCCCTTTCCCAACGTAGCCAGTGAGACTTAGCATAAGCGAAATGGTACTGCGCAGCAAGAGCGTTTCTAACAATGCGGTCAGAATCTGTATTTCGATTGCATTGTCGTATTTGCATGCGTGACTGATCACCAAACGGGACTGAAGACTCTTGTCGTCTCCATACGAACTGACGCACGCGCCAGGTTAGCCCATACTTTCAAATAGTCCTCCCGTAGAGTCAACCTTGATTTGATGGATGAGGAAGGATGTGCTGTAAAGATAAGTACAAAAAGACAAAATGCCCATGATACAATGTTGTTCATCGCACTTCAAGCGGACCGAGGTCCCAAAATGGGAACATAGTAATAGCAATAGCTAAAAACAAGATCACCTTTACAACATCACTACGCTACGCTACCGATGGAGGTAGCGGTGTTTCGTGGTAATTCTAACCTACATCATCAGCACAACATCTGAACATTACACATACTGGCCGTCTCCGTGAACGAAGGTCCAATGATGACAAAGCAAGCGTTCAAAACATTCGGTGAAACTTTCGCGAAGGGCGACCACTACCAAACATCTGAAATGATATGTATCATTCGATGTAACAACGCACATTAACGTTGAAGAGGCAACAAACATATCACACCCTCTGCTGCAGATGTATTAATCGATTCTCGTTCACGTAACCCTAATGAGCACAGGTGTACAAAGCACCGCTAAGGCAAAATATTGCTCCATATACATTTTGCTATTATATATATATATATATATATATATATATATATATATATATATATATATTATATAACTGGACTTATTAAGTCCAGTAGCTCGCTAGTAATAGTTCCATTGTGATAACGTGCCCATACAGACTTCACGTGGCTCATGCACTCACTGTGTGTCAGATCTGTTAAAAATATGATCCACGATCGATGTTATGTGATACCACTTACATCCATATATTTCCCTACTGCAGATACTGATGCCCGTAATGTCGCCCGGCGCCGAGGGCAAACATTCTGTATTCCGTGAATCTACCAAGCGCATTGGCACATGACTCATTCAAAGTTGAATTGAAAAATACATTGCACGATAACAAGCCTAATTTCGAAGGTAGTTTGTTTAGGCTTGGACGGTTGACGTCAACAGCGTCAATGATCACTTCGACCCCGAATGACGGCACTGCTGCAACGACAGCACGATAGCAATCTGAAAAAAAACCCCTGCTGAGGTAATGCGTCTGAACTGCGTCGGTATATCTCTATATTTGCAGTTATGAGTGAGATCATATGCTTCCGAGAGGGCGCTGAGAAAGCATAAGTGTCGGGCATTAATCTAGCGGACAAAGTCCGAAACCGCTTATTGCCGAAAATGAGAAATTACTGAGAGTAAGCTGCTTATATTCAAGTAACTTAAGTACCTGAAGTATGCGCGCTTGATGCCAAGATATACTTTTCTCCTTTATTTCAAATTCAATATGTTAAACAAATAATTTTTGAAATGTATTAATGAATAATTTGCTACAACTTTGTATACGCGAAACCAGAGGCGATTTAGACCTTACGAAACAAAGTTTAACAGACATCAGATCAATGTTAATCGCCTGCGACAGCATAAGCTGGCGCTTTTTCTATTAGTTAATCCGGTCGGTTAGTAAACCGCTGCGTCCGAGCGAACACTTCTGCTGACTAGGAAGAATCGTGTCTATTGACTATCTGTCGGTTTCCAAATACGGGCGAGTGCCATAGTCAAACTTACCCTTATACAACGGTGTCGATTCATCTTTATACGTCGGTCGTCATAGACTCGTTCTCAGATACATTTAGCACTGTGCTACTAAAAAACTGCGATCTATAATATAGATTTTGTATTAAAATCGGCACACTTTTTTTAGCTTGGTCTAGCATATTAAGGTATTGTTCGTGTATCCGACAATTAGAGGGATGTTACCCTGGATTATGTGATGTGTATCATAAACATGATGCACCAGTAACCATTCAACCAAACGGAAATGATTTACACAACGGTACACGTTTCTTGCTAACGAACTCAGGAAAAATATCTGTGTGAGATCCGATAGATGCTTCTATCATGTCACACGTTAAAACATTTAAGTCAGACAACCAGTTATCTGTCTATAACATTTAGACTCACTATGAAGGGCAGACTCACATGTTGTTTGTATGAACTTGACATTTGCCGCTTTTGCCCATGTGTCGCCTGTTTTTCGAGCCTTTTATTGTCTTGCCTGTTTCAAGTAAACATGCCGTAATTGCCGCAGGTTCCACGTATAGTTGAAATAACACGTATATACAGCGCTTCTTCAGAGTAAAGAAGCCGAACATCATTGGCCACACGTTTTCTGTACTTGAGGGTTACTGCCGGGGTAACCAGTGGATCGCAAGTATTGGCATGTACTTACAGATTGGGACCCAATAAAATTTGCACGGTTTGGGTTAGCATAATCGAAACGAACTCGCAGTGTGTGCAATTATGTGTCACGGAAGGCCCCATAATCCAAGAAAAAAAAATCGATTTTTTGGCAAAGCTGTCACCAACGTCGATGTATGAAGTCACTGGAGAACTTCGCGTGGATCACTTTGTTCGAATGCTGACTTCAAGTTGAAATATACCATATATAAAGCAGTGGGATATGTTGATATAAGTTTCTCGTTCGCTAGTTAGAGCACAATCATTCAGCCCGATCGGTAGGCACATTGAGCTCTGGACATTTATTTCGGATTTTAACATTACCATAAATTGATAATTATTTTGCTCCTCTTCAACTCAAAGAGATCTTTGTAGCATTGAAGAAATAAATCCCTGACAACTCCAAACAACTTAGAAATTAGCGGAAAACCCACGTAATTGAAGCACATACTTAAGTCTCCAATCTTTTCCCCTCAACCTATATGAAGTTTTTATTATTATATTAAGCAACATATTCACCTCCTTGTTCTTTGGATGAGTCCAAGCCAGGTTATTTAAAACCTCGTTTGAAATCGAATTATACGACACTAAAGTCTAATGCTTATAGCCAGTATTACAAGTAAGCATTGCTATTAGAATATCGCCTGGCTCTAAATTTCGATAAGTTAAACAACATCTAAGCTTTGACGAACTAAGTGTTCGAGCTTATTAATCCATGGGCGATACTGCTCAAAATAGTCGTTGTTCAATACAAAGTTAATATTGTATATGAACGTTATTTGTAACTGCTCATCCTCTCATCTCTGGAAAGGTAGAATATTGAATGTAACCGAATCGGTTAAGGACGAGCGTGAATTCCAAGGTGATCCCTTGTACTGCCAGAGAAAAATTCATATACTGACGGACAATTCGCTCGAAGCGCGAGCTCGGTGAGCTAGAAGAAACTGGCAAGTTGTTGGGTTGTTAAAGGGTCAATTCGAACAGGCGGTGTGCATATGCACAGTTAAGGTCAATGGAAGAACGCATGTTACGGATGAATGCAGTAGTGAAACAAGTATTAGCGTAGCAAGATTTCCGTTCTAGGAAAAGTAGTTCTTTTAAACATCGTATCTCAGTAGTAGTTGCCAAAAAATATGCTTATAAGTCAACTTAAGGTAATCTAACTTAAGGTAACTCTAATAGTAAACGTAACTAAGAGCACGGATCATCGTACCTTATTAGTACTGGTACAGAAATCAAACTGGCTCATGGTGATGACTTGGTAAACAGGAGCTTATAAAACTGCCAAGTTTGAATATCTTCGTGACAAAATCTTGCCTTTAAGCATTCACTGATTTAGTTATTTCCACAGTGGAACATGACGGATAGATTCAGGTGCTTTAGATTCACACCAGGGTGAGATTCTCCTACTTTTCAATATTATTATTACCACATGTATGTAAATGTGAGATGTACGCGTGAGTTATAAGCAGACGGAGCTCGACTTTAGGCATCAAGCGTACGTGTATCTTCTTCCAGATGACTGTATGTCCTATTTTTTAACGCGGCCTCGGCTCACGGTCGCGAATATTTACAACATGAGAAATAAAATGTTGCAGAACTTCGGGTTAGTTCTAGAAGTTCATGTGACGCTCTTTTCTATAATTTTGAAAAACATTTTCTGAGTAAACCTATTTACATGTTTGGTGTACTTAATTAGAGGCGAAAGAAAGGCAGCGGTACGGCAAGACGCATATCGCAAGATAACCTAGCGCACGGTTATGTTAGTAAATTGACAAACTGACGGTTAATACGATTGCGTTAGAGATTAAAACTTCTATTTTTTAAAGATTTATTCATTTTCTTGTGGTATTTCCTGATTCGCTCGATATTGTTGTACATGTTACGCAGTGTCATAGACTCCAAAATATCCCAACGTACTGAGCAGAAAGACTGACAAAACAGCTACAGTCAATTTCAAAGATGTGAAAATTTTAAATACAAAACATGAACATGCTCGTGAACATAAACCATTGTACTTGACCTGTCTACCGCCAGCGGTCCTGCGTTGAGCGTTTCCCGCAAACATCTCTTAAGAATTATGCAACCATTGAAGTAGACTAATAACAACAAAGTACTTGCTCACTTACATTTGTCGACAGCATACGATTTGATCACCACGGTGAGCATAGTTTGTTCGGATGTAAGTATGCGGTTGCTGTCGTCGTCGTTGCTGCTGCTGCTGTCATTATTACAAACTGTTTTCCATGCTGCGGCAGTATCCATTGCTTAGCTTACCTGTCGCGCGCTGATCCAAGCTTTGCCCGCAGCACTTGAGTCGCTGTGACTGTTCTTGTCACGTAAATGTCGTATCAGCTTTTAACAACGTGTTGGGGCGTGCTGCGATGTTGCGTGAACTTGTTAGATGAATGTCTAGTTTTCGACTCAGTCTTTTCTAGTATGAGACTACAATAGGATGCCGATCTCGCTTGAGGAAATAATAATGATCAGTCAGCGCAGGCGCACACAAGTAGACCGCTGGAGCTCCGAGAGCAGGGGATCTCGGAGCTTTCGGGGGAGTTTCTGGGATCGTGGGCGGTCTCTCCCCTTCTTTTTTTGGCGGAGAGGCGGTACCATTCGGATGTCCCCCAGACACCGGCAGAAGAGCCCCCAGAAAGCTCCACTACGAGATCACAACTGATCAGCACGTTGCTTTAAAAAGAGATCGTTTCAGTGGCTAATCACTAGCTCGGTCGCCGCTGCGGTACCGCAAGCAGATTTCAATCGTTCACCTTTGCGTGGCTAGCCTGTAGCCACTCGTTGCAAGTTGTTTTCTTTTTAACTGAAACACCACCTCAACAAAATCTAGTCAACAAATCATAACAGCTCTTGACGATCTCCGTGTTCCCACATAGCTCCAGCGACTCCAACCAACCAATCTACAATAGTTCATATCAGTAGCGCAGCAGCTCACCGTCACCAACAACAACAACAACAAAAACCGAACTATCGGCCGGGTGGCCACGAGCGGTCTCACGCACGGCACGCAGATCTCATCACTGCAACGAATTGGGGGGAGGGGTAAATAGGGAAAGAGAAAATAGGGCAATATAGTTGGTCTCCTGAGCGGCCGCTTAGTGGGGTCAGAAACCAGTGCGAAGGCTAGACCAACGATACACGGCAGTTCGCAATGACCATAGAGAACAAACAGCAGGGTGTCATGTTGTGCCTGTTACGCGTATCTTCTGGCGACCGATGCAAGGTGGACAGTTTCGACGACGGCTTTGTTTACCCCTCTATCCTACAACTGCACCATTGTTACGCTCTTTCATTATGTACACTGCTAAAATTTGTAATAGTATGTATGTTGGGTGCGGGCGGCACAATCCGCCGACCCAGCGAATGGAAGCGTTGTTTAGCAACATCAGCAGCGCTCAAGTAACAGATTCAGTTAGCGGAGTGAGCAGCGGGGGCGAGGGTACAGCGGTGCTCCAGTCATGGCGCGGGCATCTTTCAATGTGGTCAGCCCAGCGGGCCTGATCAAACAATGTTCAGCCGGCATAGCTAGAGATCTTTGGCGAATAACACAAACGTACGAAGCGACTCTCACATGTTTTTAAGCTAAACAAATTGTTGCAGTTTTTAGCGGTTGTTAGATGCCTCCACTGAATACGTCGAGCAACTCGAGAGGTCCACGCGATAGCCGCGACTGAGCGAACGAGATCCCGCAGAAAATGAAAGCGTATGCTCGTAATGATGTGAATCAGGAAATGTAGGGGTTGCTGAGATGAAGAGGCAGATGTGGGTACTGCATGATGTGACCGGGGGCACCTTGCTGCGAGACGTTGCAGTGGCTATTCTTATTACATGCCCACAACATTAGTTTTATTTGCGACTACAACTAAGATACTCATATTGTATGAAAGAAAGGAAATTAATAACTTTTTAGTCAGGCAACTAGAATAAAATTATTTTTTTCGATTTCAATGAAATCTGCCTTCAAGCGCTGATATATAGGATGTTTGAAGACCAAGTTTGCAGAATTTTTTGTTTTTAGGAGACGTCACTCTTAAATCAATTCGGTAAAAAAATTAGCGCGGTTATTCTGTATCTATCTGAATAATAATGGTCCAACATGTCGATGATACATGATCATCAAGATGCAAATAGATTTCGCTCTTTAATTTAGGGGGTTTAAGGTCAATATCCGGCTAAAAATATCTCAACATGAATTAGTATATAGCGAGAATGCCTTAGAAGTGAACTTAATCAGCCACACCGGAAACTATAAAATATATGCGGAATTTTCCACGATGCTTTGCCTTTATTTAAATTATTAAACTCCTCTGTTGGCCTAATTATGTGGAATATAAGTTGTTAGATAAATGAGCGTATAAAAAATTATCAGTATGAGACTTGAGGAAATGTTTAGTCTTTTATGCTTCAAGAAGATGCATTGAGTTCGAGTATCCTGTATGTTAACGATACTGTTATACAATTTTATTAAAGCGGTTTATTTGGCACTGTTACTAATTATAACGTGTTAAATTGCATGTCGTATGATCTAGTCCGGGAGGGCAAGCAGGCTGACCGTACCAGCCACTGGCGGAAAAGGTGTTCACCAATATTGAAAACATGACCCACAAATCGTTCAGCCGATTATGCTACGGTGACTTTGGTAGTTTACTTGTGGCGTGTTTGTTATCTAGAAATCACTGAGGTAGGTTCGAAATTGGGCATAGAGATTACTGGGTGGCCGACTGTCTGAATGTCTAATGGCAATGATGAACGTGAAGATTCGAAACATTTCGAAGCTGGATCATAGGTGTTTTTTCATTTTATGTTTGAGCAGGGTTAACTAAAAGACATCACTCTTAATTGCAGAAGGTTAGATTTTTTCCCCTTTAGCTAATTAAGTACACTACGCTGGTGTATGCTGCTGTATAGACGGTGCACGATTTTAAGTTATACTGCCTTTTAACTGAAACCAATGCGAACATACTTGTTCAATAGACCTTAAAATTTAGTCCATGAGTGAAAGCATGATCGAAGCGTTAGTTAAGTGGTTGTGAACAATCGAGAGTTTTAGGCAGAAGAAGCAGATTATTCTACTCAAGAATTAGCTGTGAAAACGCAAAACGGCCGTTTTTCTAAAAAGCCATCACGCGATCACTGACAAATCTCAGATCTGGTTAGTTAAGGCTAATATCAGCGTATCTATTTCGCATAATAAAGTTGACCTTAATTACCATCCCGTAATCGTAAATAACGCTGACCTTATTAGGATGCTTTCGAGACTTACACAGGGAATATAGCACCAAGTTACCAAGAGCAGTTTTGTCTTGCAAAAAAAATTTAATGAAAAGTATCGACAATTGATTCCTGGCCTCATCGCAACAACCGCGTGTCACTTTACGCTTTTTTTTGACATAAAAGAGCTTACCTTTTCTGTAGACTACTTTAGCTCGTTTAGAACTTACATATTGGCAAACGTTTATACTCGGTTCCTGATGTTGATTAAACAGTCGATCCATTTTTAAACCAGAATGCGTTGCGCATCTGGGATTCAAGTGTACGCTGGAGGTTTACGTCAAAGGACAATTCCGTTAGCTGTTTTTGTTAGACAATATTTAATCTCAGTGATGACGATGTTTTTCGTATATATTAGAGTAGAGACTAAATAATAGGAAGCAAATAATCGGCCGCTCAGCCAAACTTTACCTCCACGAAAGGTTAAACATCGTAGGCGTATTGGAAATCGTCAAGTACGAACGCTCTAAAAGTAATATTTCAATGTTATGCCATCTTTGATAAATAGAAAACATTGATTTGGTATCCGCTCACACTACCAGCAGATACTTGCCATAAATTAATTAATTTAATTAACTAATTATCTTTCTTGTTAAATCGATATCCAAGTTTTAGGGCAAATAGCAGCTGATTAGAGTAAGAATTACTGGTGACGCCAACGGTGAGTGTCTCATTCCGCATTTATTCCAACTATATATCGAAGAGTGGTGCTAGTTCGATCTGCTCATAATTCGCATGAACAATCGATTATAAATTACAGTTTGTTTATATTAATAAGCTTTCCGGCAACAGCAGAGCCGATGGGAGGCCGATGCTGGAAGGTGTGTCGAATTTTTGTACATTTACCCTTCTACGATGTAAATATTTCAACGTAACAAGTCCAGTCCGCTCACCATCTACATACAGCCTACTTCAACATAACACGAACATTTTCATTATTGAGTTTAGATATTGTATAATATCTAATTAAATGCCCAAAGAATTTTCCCTTGACGCGGATCTACGGTCTTGAACTTGAATTCGAGTCAGCCGATATCTCCTGCTTGTACCTAGGCAAAAAGATTACTTCAGCTATAGCTTGCTTTCAAAATACCAATATTTACCTTCGATTAAATTTAGCTGAAACAAGCAGCGCCGCCTTTATTTGTTTTTTTTTACTTACGAACTTTGCACTTACGTACCGATGCTTCGGCTTCCTTTAAGCTCCATTATAAGCAACATCCTATGGTAAGCTGAAGATGTGAGGCATATGTCAAAAATACATCCTTAGTCGATAGTTTGCATCGCTTTTTTTATTTCTTATAAGCTCGTTAGAACTTGTCAGTGTACAATGCAAAGTCCCCGACACTTTAATGTCTGCTTGCGTGTGTCGATTGATCCAAAGGATACCATTTTTTGTGCCAATATGCTTACTAAACGGAGACAAGCGATCAGAATTTCTTAAACCTGATTATCTAAGCTAAACATTATTATTTTCACTATTATCATTTCTGGATTTCGTGTTTCACTTTCGTCTAATACTATATATATATATATAGAAACAAATTGAAATTATGTTTAGAGATAGCAAATGAGAGCAAGAGCGTTTCTATTTACAGTAAGGTATTTTGATAATAATAGAGCATATTAATGCACTGCAATGGGACTCTGTTGTGGTCAGCTATCAACCGTCATAAGCGAAATATCCCACAATTATCCGCAAGACCAACAGGTTCTATAGGGGTTCTCTCAAAATTTTTATCAATAGAAATTGTATTGTGTGACAGGATAAGAGCTAATATGTGGAAGATTTATTTTTACTTCTCTCGACACACGTATCTGAATATATAACATATACAATAATCAGAAAAAAATGTATAACTGTAGTTTCTTCGATCAGAGACGGAGAAACAATAGTAGATTTCGATACATGTCATCTAAACGTATCAAGTCACGTAACAGGTTGTCCCTAAAACGATTGAAGTTTCTGTTCAGTAACACGAGTAAATTATAAAGTACTGTATGTAACGGTAAGTGACCAGGCAGTCCTAGCAGCTTTCTTCGGAACAACAGTCAGCTCTTTCGCCACCCGAAATAGCGAGAGTAGGGTGCACTTCGTCTGTTTTGGGGTTCCAACTACCGCAGAGTTTTGATTTTCCGGGTGCCCTGTGTTACACTGTAGGACTATTGTATTATGCGTAGCAATAGTGGGATTCTAGTAGTAAGCTTCCTTTAACATTGTCGCAAATGCGCAGTGCTTTCGTCGTCGGACCTTCACTCTCCTGCCGTCGTGTTTCCATGTTAGGCCGGGTGCCATCTTACAGTAGACACTAGATACATCAGATCTGCTCAGTATTTACACCAATCGAGTATATAATTGATTGAGTGTCTGGAACGACGCTTTGAGATCTTTTCCCGTTTGGGCAACTAATCGTAATTTTGATCCAGTGTGAGCTCAAAATATATGCATGATTTCTTTTCTGATAGTGCGTTTTTTAGTGTGTACTTATGAAACTCTTCCCCCGCTCTTTTCTTTTACTTTAAAGCGACCACTCTTGGACAAGTTTAACGCCACTTGGAAGCTCTACCGCGCTTATGTTGCAATGTTCAATAAGGCTGTAATGCGCCGGTAAGTACGCGCGATTGAGGCCAGGTCGTCTGCGAAAAATAATTTTGATAACTTGAAGTTCTTTTTTTTTTGAGAAGATTTAAGAATTGGACGGTAAGTCCTTCCTGTAATCATTTCTTCGAAGCTCTGCTATCTACAGCACAAATAAGACCGGCATGGGGTAGCCCGATCTCATTCCTTGGATTGCGTTTTTCACATCCATACTACCCATGGCGTACGATCAAGCTGATTTCCTACGTAATAATCTCCAGTCCAACGGAATTTACGCCACAGTCGTCTAGATATTTTACAGAGCTCGTTCCTGGTGACCCTGTTGATTTACTCGGTGACCTCAAAATAGGTATATTTGAATTCTTTATTCTGGTCTTTAACCGTTAACATCAGTATAGAGAGAAGGTAACTTTATTGCTTGATCGTTCTAAATTCACTTTGAATTTCTCTAAAAAACCCTCTG